AATAGTGCGTGATGTGTTTGTGTTATTATCACAGCTTGTTATAATGGGTGAAGGAAGTCGGGGGACAAAAGGCAGCAGGGATGGGGTGCATTCACCGCATTATGATGACTTTCTGTATGCGTAAAACTGACCAGGTTCGTGCGTCCCGGGGTTGTCTGACATCTCCAGCACCAGCAGCTCGCGGCCCTCGAAGCTCTCCCCGATGGTGTAGATGCGGGTGATGGTCGGGCACTGCAGCCACACCGACACCAGAGCCTTCCGCAGCTCCTCATAGCGGTGGTACTCGAAGGAGATCTCCCCCTCGGTGCCTACTACTGCCGCGCTGACTAGGGCCACTGCGGCCCCGAATAAAACCACCGAAGTGAAGAGTTTCATCTTGACGTGACCTCTTTTCCCAAAGCCCTGTCTGTATGTGTCGGTCCCAAGCCTTATCTCTGTGCTGCAGCTTCGCTATAGGCTATAAATATATACCTCTCTCTCTATTCTGTCTCTCTAGACTCTCCCTATACTCTACTCTCTCTCTCTCTCTCTCTCTCTATCTTCCTCATATCTCTTCTCTCTCTCTCTCTATCTCTGCTCTCTCGCTCTCGTCTTCCTCTCGTCTCTCTCCTCTCTCTCTCTCTCTCTCTCTCTCTCTCTCTCTCTCTCTCTGTCCCTGTGTGATGCTCTGCTCTACCTGAGTCTGAGCGCAGACTCCCTCCAAAGTCAAGCACCACACAAGAGTTTCACATCCGGTCACAGATTTCATAATAAAGGCTTGAGGTGTATTTTTATTAAGAAAAAAGGCTGTTAATTCAAGAAAGTTTAGAATCGTAGACATTTATCATAAGTCTTATTTAATTATATATAATGTCACTGTAACTTTATTTTCTAAGAGTTTAAATTCACGCCTAGCTACTAAATGTTCTCAGACAGACAGAAGGGTGTCGCCTTGACCATTGTAGAACATAGAATCGGAGGGATGAAACCCTCTTTAATGGTGACACATGCAGAGCACACAGCACACACAGTGAACCGGGGACTTGAACCGGGGACTTGAACCGGCGACCCTACGGCTCACAGTACAAGCCCCTACTGACTGAGCCACCGCCGGACATCAGATCTCTGCATTTGACCCATCCTGGTGTTAGGAGCAGTGAGCAGCCATTAGGTCGGCGCTCGGGGAGCAGTGTAGGGACAGTGCCTTGCTCAGGGGCACCTCGGTAGTCACTTGGTCATTCCGAGACTCGAACCGGTAACCTTTCGGTTCCCAGGCCGAGTCCCTACGGACTGAGCCACCGCCGCCCTATTGTCAAGCAAATATCAGAATCAGAATCAGAATCAGAAACAGAAACAGGTTTATTACCAGGTAGGTTTACACGTACGAGGAATTTGACTCCAAGATCATAGATTTGGAGGAGTACAGGAAGTCTAGGTATGATCTCCGGAGAGCAATTAAAATGCAAAGAGACAGTACAAAGACAAGGTGGAATCTGACTTCAAAGGCTGTAACACTAGGAATATGTGGGCGGGACTAAGGACAATGACTGACTACAAAGGAGCAGCGGGGGGGTGCTGCGGGAGTGTCTGCGTGCGCATCTCTCCCAGATGAGCTGAACAGTTTTTTTGCACGCTTTGAGAGCAGCCAGGCTGTGGAGGTACAGAGGGACCAGGAGCTACACTGCCCTTTTGTTTTAAATAGGGCAGATGTGTGTAAATCCTTTAAAAGGGTTAACCCACACAAGGCTCCTGGACCTGATGGCATCCCTGGCCGTGTTCTCAGAGTGTGTGCAGTTCAGCTGGCAGAGTTTGCCTACAGAGCAAACAGGTCCACAGACGACGCCATAGCCCTCACCCTCCACACTGCCCTCTCACACCTGGACCCGAAGAACAGGAACACATATGTGAGAATGCTGTTCATTGACTACAGTTCAGCATTCAATACCATTGTGCCCTCCAAGCTGGCCATCAAGCTCAGAGACCTCGGGCTCAACAGCGCCCTCTGTGACTGGATCCTGAACTTCCTGACGGGCAGACCCCAGGCAGTGCGGGTGGGAAACATCACATCCTCCACCCTGATTCTAAACACCGGTGCCCCTCAAGGCTGCGTGCTCAGCCCTCTCCTCTACTCCCTGTTCACCCACGACTGCGTGGCCACACACAGCTCCAACACCATCGTGAAGTTTGCTGATGACACGACCGTCATCGGCCAGATCACAGACGATGACGAGACGGCGTACAGAGAGGAGGTCGAAAACCTGACATCTTGGTGCCAGGATAACAACCTCCATCTCAACATCAGCAAAACAAAGGAGCTGATTGTGGATTACAGGAAGCAGCAGGGAGAGGGACACGCCCCCATCGCCATCAATGGGACTACGGTGGAGAGAGTCAAAAGCTTCAGGTTCCTTGGGGTCCACATCACTGAGGACCTGACATGGTCTCTTCACACCACCACCATCACCAAGAAAGCTCGACAGCGGCTCTTCTTCCTCCGCAGGTTGAGGAGGTTCAAAATGGATTCCAGGATACTCTGCAACTTCTACAGGTGCACGATAGAGAGTATCCTGACTGGCAGCATGACGGCCTGGTACGGCAGCTGCACCGACCTCGATCGTAAGGCTTTACAGAGGGTGGTGGAAACTGCACAGCACATCACCAGGACGGAGCTGCCATCCATGGAAGACCTTTACTCCCAGCGGCTCAGGAAGAAATCACTACGGATTATCAAAGACCCCATCACCCCAGCCACAAACTGTTCTTTCTGTTGCCGTCTGGCAGACGTTACCGCAGCATCCTGGCAAGGACAAGAAGATTCGGAGACAGTTTCTTCCCGCGGGCAGTGAGACTGTTAAAAAATTGAACTGTTGAAACAACTTCAAACATTCATCTGCTACTCAGTAGTATGTATCTAATACCTAATATATATATATCATTCCAATAACTTGTATATAGACTCGTACTGCACTATTCCACATCATCACTTTATTTTATTTTATAACTAATATTCTTTTTGTATTGCTCTTGCTCTTATTGTTATTATGTTATTATGTTGCATTGTTGGAGAAGCCTGTGACATAAGATTTTCAACTACATAATTACTCTGTAGCTATGTCAGATTGACAATAAAGAACCTTGAACCTTGAACCTTGATATGGATCTTAGGTTTGTAATTAGCAAGTTTCGCCCGTCTGGCCAACATTTCAATGGCCTGTAATGTAATTTCCCTAGCTGAGACCTCCCCCCTGTTGTCTTTTTCCTGTATAAAGTGCTTGTTTTTCTGTTGTAACAGGGTCAGATCCTGGTGTTTTCTACTAGTGCAGGACCTCTGGCCTTTCCAGCTGGAAATAACATTGATTCTGTTCAATGCTATAACTCTTTATTAAATAACACAACTTTGGTTTAAGCTTGTATATTTGTTATTTTCTTACCAGAAGGTGATTAAGTGTGGAATTTCCACCACATTTAGGATAACATAAGAGAAGTGTTCTGTAGTTGTAGTGCAAATATGGTAAACATGCAAAAACAAAATATAACCTAAGGTATCAAAAAGGTGCAAATTCAAAATATATTTGATGCCAAAGTCAAATACAGTACATATAAATGCTTAACAGTAAGGTGCAAATCTTAAAAGTATACAGCATGGGGTTATTTTGAGCAAGACAGACAATAAAAACAGTCTATATTGAAACCAAAAAGACCAATCTGAATAAATGGACCTAGCCATGACAAGTAATCCAATAAAACTCAGCTTTTTATTCCTTCCTGCTTTTTTTGTGTATCGGTATCGAATTATAAAACATCAAAACATACAACTGACTGATCTGCTCTGTTCATCTTGACTGGTAGACAATGATTGTGATGAAAATTGACATTATGAAATAATCTAATCAAGCAATATAAAGATGTCACTTTTGGCTCTCAGTTGTTTGGTATTTTTCCCTCCTTTTAATCACCAAAGGGAATATAAAGATTAAACAATAATACTGGGAGTCCAAATAGTTGTAAGTAAAAAAAAAAACGAATGGGGTTCGACCATGTTTTGCATTCATTTCCTCATGTCACTCAATCACTTAGTTTTGGTCCTTGGTATAAATACTGCCTCACTTCCTGTTTGCTGGCTGCTGTTGGCTAACTTGACTCAGCAGCAGCAGGGGTGTGTCCACAGTGCAGCAGAGAGGAGATGAAGGGAACCTACAGCAGCAAACACGCTCACTTCCTCCATCAACCCACAGCTGTCTACAGCAGTGTACTGTTAATCTACACTTATCTAAAATATGAAGGTAATCAAATGTCTTCATGTAGAAAATTGTATAAAAAACTAAAATATCGTGGTTTCCCTCTGCAGCTAGTCAAGTTGCAGTTTACATCCATGTCGGTTCAACATGTCATCACTCCATAATTGTATCCTTTTTTAAACAATTGTGTGAAATTATGATAAGAAGTGTAATAATTCTAGAGTTTTTCCCAAAAATTGGTTTTGTGAGGTCGCAGTGACCTCGACCTTTGACCCCCGAAATCAAATCCTGTCATCTTTGAGTTCAAGTGAACCAAATTTAAAGAAGAACCCTCAAAGCATTCCTGTTGTATTACGTCCTTGAGAATGGGATGCATGTACAAACATCCAGAAAACAATACGCATAAATAAAGTTCAACACAACTACACAAAGCCTAATCAAATGTGTTCGTATTTAAAAAAAAAATAACACAACATATTTTTTGTAAAATCAGAACAGCATTTATTTATTAACATTAACAAAATAGTCTTGAACAAATTGAAAGTTCCATATGAGCCAATCTCCTTTTATCAAAAAATAACATGAATTTGCATCAAACATGCCTGACTTGAGTTTGGACAGCTCCCACAGAACTGTAGCTATCACGCAACATCACTCTGACTCAGTTTAACTCAAGAGGAAGCGCTAAAGTGCTAAAACATTCAGAGGTATACGGAAGAATTTCATAAGAAAGTCATATGGTACAAACTTCATGCAATGACAAAGCAAAGCAACAAATTCAAATGAGGATTTAGATTTTTTTTATTCAGCCAGCAGCAAGAAGACAAAAATACGTCTATAGCAAAAAAGGCACAAAAGACGGACTGAAGTTGACATACAGTCCGATTCAATATCAAACCACAGCATTGCTGATTCCTTTAAAGTACATATTTAGTGAGTGTGTGTGAGACTGAGGAAAAGCAGCACTGTCTGTGTGTCCCTGCCTCTTCCCTCCTGCTTTACATTACATTATTATTACACGATGTCACTTGTTAGATGCTTTTATCCTGCTGACAGGCGAGTGGATGAACAGAGATGTTTACTGCTCCTTCTTGTTTCCCACTTTCTCCTGGTGTTTGTTGTACTGGCTGTCCGTCATCAGCAGCTTGTCCCACCAGGTGAAGGTGGAGGCGTAGTTCCCAACAAAGTTCATGTGGTGGAAGTCGTGGAAGCGAGTGCCGGCGTAGAACGGGATCAGATGGAGTGGGTTCATAGGGATGTCATAACCACTGAGAGAGAGAACGATAAAAAGGGAATTAATGTCTGTCTGCTATTTATTCATAAAAAAAAGAAAATGTTGTTCTTTCTTAGATTTAATAGGTCCATATTTTCTATTTAAAGCATTTTTCGAACAAGCTTTTCAAATGAGACGCACATTTGGAAATGATCAATAATTATGTTTGTGTTTGTCCTGATTACGTGATGCATATAGTTTGATTCTGTTTTCATGTTGCTGCGTAATGGTTGAATATTAAAAAAACAATATTTGTGTTTCTCTTTTATTAAACACTGTTGCACTATTGGCTAAATAAAGTATTTTATGTAAAGATGAAAGAAAACCTGACTTTTGTCACATGCATTGTTTTATTTTAGATGGTATATTTTTTGTAAAGGATTACAAATTACATTTGTTTGTAGTTTAATTAAGGCAAGTCTGCAGGATAAATGCACTGCTAAGTCAGTACTTAGTAGAAGATATAATGTATTTTAATAATAACTACCTAAAGGAGTTCTTTGTGATCTGATAACATCTGGTGATCTGTGTGGCCCTCTAGTGGTCACCGCTATACATTACTGACATTTAACATACGAATTGTGCAGTGTATTGTAATCAGTGATGTGTTGCAGTCAATGTCTCTCTTGAGTCATAGTATTAAGCAGTCCATTTGAGCTACATTTCTACCTGCAGAAAGTGATGAAAAGGGAAGAAAAAAAACTAAACGACAGGAAGAAAGTGTCCTACCTGTGGACATCGATGGTCTCCAGCAGGCGGAAGGACACCCAGGCCCACAGCAGGAACACGTGGTTACAGAACATCATGATGCCGATGAAGAAACCTGCTCCCAGGATGAGAGTCTCAGCAGGATGAGCGTACTCTGCCTGCATGCCGAACGGAGACTGAGGGACAGAGGAAGAATATAATGAAGACATATTCAGGTGGGTGTATGTATGTATGTATGTATGTATGTATGTATGTATGTATGTATGTATGTATGTATGTATGTATGTATGTATGTGTGTGTGTGTGTGTGTGTGTGTGTGTGGTCATATGTTCTCATGTGACAGCTACAGGATCATTAATAAGTAACTATTCAGTAAAGACAATAACCAGAGTGGTGTGTTGTGTTTATTTATCTTATCACTTGTGTGTTTTACTCACGGTGAACTCGTGGTGGACTTTGTGGATGTGTTTGTAGATCTTGCGGTGGTGCAGCGCGCGGTGCAGGAAGTAGTGCCAGGTGTCTTCGACCACTGCGCAGCCTAAGCACTGAGCCACTACGTACGGCCTGGAGGAGGAGACGAGGAGAGAGAGGAGGGACATCCTTAGACACTGAGATATTCAAATTAACCGTGACTGGTGTATCCCGCTGAATGTGGTTAGTGTAAAGAATGTAATTTCTTAAAACTGCCATTTCATCTCTTTTTATGTGATTTTTCTCATATTGCATACATATTGATATTGCACTAACATTCCTAAAATTGTGATATTAAGTCCATCAATATTTCCCAGCTCTGTGTATTTAATGTTGTAACAGTATCTATCATCCTCTATTTGTATAATTTATCGAAAGAAATGTCACTTTTACTTTTATTGTCAACAAGTCTAATGACCTTAACAAGATATAATGGAAAATGTTCTTTTGTTTCTTTTAAAGCAGTATTACATGCATGCATTTTCTTTCGTAAAGCAGATTGATGAAGGCATGAGAGACACCTTTCTCGTTTAAAAAAATACAATAATTGCTGCTGGATAGCTATGCGTCATTGAATTGAATGCTTTTCAGAGCTACATTTCTGTCTTAAACGTTATCATAGATAGCACATGCCTAGATTAAACATTTAACATTTTACTATGCTATAAAACTCACAATAAAACTGATGTGTACGGTACATGTTAAAATAAGGCATTGGGTGTGTTTTATTATACTTCCACTGACCAGCGTGGCATGGAGTCCCAGTCATAAGGGATGTTGAAGAACTCAGTGAAGTAGTAAGTCCCACAGATCAACGGCAGCTGGATACAGAAATGGTTGAACAGCAGCATCTTAAAACACCTCCACTGTTTCTCCCAGGTCTCCGGCTTGTCCTGCACACAACAAAAACACACACACACACAGAAGGTTTAAAAGAGGCATGATATCTTAAACTTAAAAAAATAAAGTCATAACCACTTGGAGTACCACCATTGCCTCTGAGATGTACAAAAGTAGAAGAATGTAGCAGGAAATGGAAATACTAGTACAAGTAGCTCAACATTGCTCACAGTACAGTACTTGAGTAAATGTACACAAAAGGTCCTTAAAACTTAAATCCCACACAAACCTGTTGGATCTTGTATTTCTGCATGAAGGGCAAGAACTGGAAGAGGAATCCGGGGAGGCAGAACAGGAAGTAGATCAACTCGTGGACGATGAGCGACCCCCAGGTGGCAATCTGGAACTTGGTGTAGTTGTCCATCATGTAGTCCCAGGCATGTTTTATGGAGGGCTGGAGGGGGTTTTCTGGCAACACCGCATCCATGTACTCCACCGCCAGGTAGGCAGAGCTCAAGATGTCTGCCGTGCCGTTCACCTCCATGATGGTCAATGTCAGATGAATGCAGGACAGGAGAGAAGACTGGGAAACAGGAACACAGTGTTATAATAAAGGTATTAAAATACTTTAGAAAGAACACACTGTATACAACTCTCAGACAGGAGGTATCATTACAGCTATAGGTATAGAGATAATATAATTCAGTCATGTTGGTACAGTGCAAATGTGTCTTTTAACAAAAAGGTACAACAGTGGAAGAAGTGTGTCATCTTTAACTGAGTAAAAGTGACGATACAATACAGTGTCAAAAATACTCCGCTACAAGTATCTAAGTAAGTCCTCCTTTAACAGTCTTCTTTAAGTATGAGTACAACAGTATTAGCATCAAACTGTACTTAAAGTACAATTCATATTATATATTTGGGTTTCTTGTTGGATTGACCAAAAATAAAACGTTTTTTACCTCAAAGAAAAGTGTGACTATAGATGTTGACATAAGTTGAATATGTTGAAGTGCATACATGTCAATGTCCTGTTCCTTGAGTGCTAGTTGAAACATTTGTCAACAAATATATAGAATATTTCAAATTATTGTAGTATAAACAAATGAAAGTATCAGATTTGACATGTTTATCCCATATCCTAATCAGTGACTTATTATGCAGAATGGCTCATACATAGTCCTAACCAATATATTATATAACTGAATTATGACTAATATAAAAAGGAGTACTCAAGTAAAGGGCTGGTAACTCAAACTTCCAATACTTGATGTTCTACTGTTAATACCTTACAGCTACATAATGATGACACACTATGACATAATACTGTTGCAACAATAAATACAATTTCAATCATTAAATTCAACACGAAAACATGCTGAATTACACCGCTAAGCGATTGTTAATGCAAAAACGTAGTGAATCTCAATGAAACAAACGGAGGAACTCTAAAAACAGCTAAACATTTCCTTATATCTCCCCAGTATCACTTACACTATTTCCTGTTTATTAATGAACTCTGTGTTTCAGATTACAAAGCGAGCCGGTGTATTGTTCTTAAAACTCGTAAAACCTAGCTCTTTTTCGCTGTATTATATAAAAAACACATGTGGTTAAACAATCGCTGCAAATAAAAACAATAAAAACGGTCTTTTTGCAGCTTAAACGACGGTAAACTCACCTTGTTGCGGATCGTCCCGTCTACCTGACAGTGAGGCAGCCGACCATATGAAGTACAGTCATATCGAACAAGCTGATTGGTTGAGAGGAGAGGAGACTGACGTCGAGGGGCCGAGCCGCTTCGCTGATTGGTCCGTGGCATGGACTGATGATAGTGAGACTGAATGTTTCTACAGCAACGGCCAATCAGAGGCGAGCTCTGCTTTCATAACCTCTGCAGTGAATGGATTGTACGAGTTAAGAGATGGGGTGAACTTTGAGTCATATGTGTCTTCCGTCTCACATTTAAATTTGTATAACACTTTGTGATTCAATGTCAACTTTGGAAACGTTGTATAGTTATTTTTGACAGTCTTTACCTATTCAAATGTAAATACAGCACCACTTAAATGTAGTTTTACATCTTTTAAAAAGTTTTAAATATTAAATGTTGTCTGATATGCATCTTCATTTATCATATACATGCTCCATTGTATTTTATAAGATGACTATTTGGTGTGTGTAAGATCGTAATCTGCTAAAGACATATCGCTGGCAAAGTACTTCAAAATAGTACTTAATGTACAGTACAGACTTTTTGTTATTTCACCCCTTGCAAAACAAATTTAAATTTGACAAAAGTACAAAAGTTCTCAAATACTCAATGTTATCTAAATAAGGGCAGAATTGCAAGAACTTTAACTGAAATGAAAACAAAATGGCAAGAAAATTAATTAAGAAGTGTCCGACACTGAGAAGTCTAATAATGCCAGCTTTTACACGACACTTATGATTACATGTTAAATATTGTAAATAAACAAATTACTGTAGAGTTTTAAAAACATCACACAAAGCATATTTTAATTTTCAACATTTTACTGATTTGGCAAAGTTTTAAAAACAGATGTCATTTCACAGCTTTAAATACAAGAAGCATATTTATTAATGATAATATAAAACAAGTAATGAAACATTTTCAAAGTCATTAGCCTACATGACATTCCTCAATACAATGACAAGAAAACAGCAATACCAGTTACTTTTATAGCAATATTTTTTCAACTGAAACTCAAGAGTAGGTTTGGTCACTTTCCAGAAAGAGAGAACACATTAGTTAAGTAGTAAAGAGAGACAGAAATGAAGAGACATATTAAAATTGGCACATTCATAGTACGTCAGGGTGTGCAGTAGTTAATAGGGTTGCTACACCAAAAGAGGGAGAGGGGACTGTTGAAGGATAGGAGGTTGGAGTTCGGGGACCATGCAGTGAGTTCAGGCCGTTGTAGTGGTTACAACCACAGCAAAGATGGCTGCCATGAGACAGTAAAGCACTGATACATCCAACTGTTTTCATCTCAAACAGCTTCTACCTCTGTCCATCACTGTTTTTGGCAACATGAATGACTCTTCTCCTTTACCAGAAGAGTGGTGTTCAAGTCAAAGTCTGTTTTTTTTAATAGAACAAATGCACATTTTCTAGCTTGTCACGTTCTGAATTCATGCGGGCTAACGCAACCGATCTGGACTCAAATGTGTTTCTTTATCCCAAAACATCCTCAGAGTCCAGCTGTAATCTGTCCAGTAACAGTACTCAAGGCATAACAAAGGGGAAGAAGAGGGAAAGCGGGATGTTTTTAGACATTCAGGCACTCTTGAACAGCCACACTGCAACACTGTAAAAAGGCCAGAGGTCAGACAGAGTGCGTTCATGCGGCGTCGGACCAGGCGTCCCCACACAGAGACTCAGATGCACACAAACGCACACATGCTCACATGTGCAAGCAAAAGGAGCACCTTTAAATGCAAGCGCACACACACAAACACACACTCACACACACTTTTCATGATAGAAAAGAAGGAGAAACAAAGATTTTAGTCCCAAATGGTCCTTCTTTGCCTTCCTCTCCCGTATATTAGATCAGTGGTCTCTCTGTTAACATTACTAATGTTAAAATAACTTTGCAGTTATAGTAGCTTCATATCAGTAGCGTTTCAATGGCACTTCAGCAGAGCTTCACACTGGTGTGTCCATTCACCAGCGGCAGTCCTTCCAGGAGGGGATTAAAACACGGGTTTGATTCCCCCCCGTTTGTTACAGCTCCCCCTTTCAGGTAAGTGCAAAAAATCTTCTTCATCATCATCCTCAACAACAACAATCTTGTCATTTTCTTCATCTTCGTCAGTGCCTGTGCTAATGCTGCCCAACATAATAGCATTGGCATCGTAGACAGATCCAAGATCAGTATTCAGCAGGAGAATACGTTCTGCTCCGAATCAGTGGCAGGAGTAGAGAGCAATCATAAGGGCTTGTCGATCACAGTCACTCCTAGGGTCACAAAAAAAAGAGATTAAGCCGGTGCATCGCTACTGCCACACGTTTATTTTCACATGCATGATGTGCAGGACATTTTATATTCTACATATCATAGAATCCCTTAAATAAATGGCAACTACAGTCACTTTTGTTAGTACTTTAAAAGTAGGAATACTTGTTGAAAAGGATTTCTATATTGTATCTACGTGGTTGATTGATGCAGACACTTTAGCATTTTAGAAATACATTTTAATCAAAATAATGACATTAAAGCTTTATGGATAGAAACATTTGTTGAACAGTGTATAATAGCTGTAATGTTCAAAGAAATGTCAAATGTACATCTCACTGTAGTTTGGATACAACATATTAAGTTATAATACGATAACAGCACTTTTGTATATCTACACACCTGCATAACTGCGTCCTGTGCTCATGCAGTTTGGCAGTAGTGTCCACTTGTCCGAGTTTGGGTTGTAAAACTCCACAGAGGCCAGATTGCAGCTCCCGTCGTCCCCTCCCACCACATAAAGTACGTTGTTTACAGCACACATACCTGAAAACACACACACAGAATAAAGATTAACGGACGTCCTTCATCTCACACCTGAGGATGTCTGGTGGTCAGACGGTCTGCTTTACCTGCGTTGCGTCGACACATGTTCATGTCAGCTACCTGCCTCCAGCTGTTAGAGGCCGGATCATAAACCTCACAGCTCTTCCTCACCAGTGGGCCATCATGACCCCCCACAGCGTAAAGTAAACCTTTCAACACACCTACACCTGAGGACGACATCAAACACATTGGTCACCATTTCAATGCCACTAGTCAGAAAGAAAACATGTTATGGAAGCAAAATAGAGCAAAACCTCAGAATTGAACAGTGCATGAAAAGTCACATTTGTATATAAGTTATTACCACAGTTATTGTTTGTTTGTTATCTTATAATATTGAACCACACACACACACTGACCTGCTCCGCTGCGTCTCGTGCCCATCTCTGCTATGTAGCTCCACGTGTTGCTTTTAGCGTTGTAAGCTTCTACAGTACTCAGACATTGCCTGGTCGCACCATCATAACCTCCAACTGCATACAGGATCCCTGAAACACACACACAAGGAAACACATTATAACTCAGAATAAGCGAGGCAATGAGATGGAGAAAATTATAGAAATACAAGGTACCTATGCAGATAAAAAGATTGTGAAAGATTTTGATGCAAATAAGCCATAAATGTTTACTTCTTGGGTGCATCTTTTTGCCGACTTTACTTTGTCATATAATTATTTGTCTTTGCTTCTTCTCTCTTCTGTATTGTAATACAGTATAACGTTTTAAGCCAGTTCCTGTCTCTATAAACTCTAGTAAGTTATGTGCTTTATAGAAAAAGTATTTATTGCAGGACTACTGTATGGTTAATAGTGTTTATGACTGTAAAACTGAACTGGGATTCATATTCACCATTGACAACACCCACTCCTACACTGCTTCGTCGGGTACTCATGGGTAACACATGGAACCACTCGTCTGTTTTCGCATTGTACGCCTCGATTGTCGACAAACCTGCAAGCACACACATACCATGTATCAAAGACACCATGAACAATCACATATTATATAATTTCCTGTTAAAAAGCCTGTAGGGATGCACCGCCTAAACCCTCTCTGTCTCACAGAAATATAAAAATATGGGATTGGATAGTGTATCTGTACCTGTGCTGCCGTCAAAGCCCCCCACAGCGTACAGGAGTCCGTTGAGCACTGCGGCCCCGAGCGTGGATCGGCGGTCCTGCATGCTGCTCACACTCGTCCAGCGGTCCATCATCGGGTCGTAACAGTCGACCGTCCGCACACGCAAAGAACCGTTGAAACCACCAACTGCATACACACACCCACCCACGTACACCACACCTAAAAGGAACGAGATTAGATAAGATTGAGAACACATTTGCACACATCATTTAAGAGAAATAGGCCTTTTGTTTGCATAGGAAAAGTCTCTTTTATTTAAACTTTATGTCATTTATCTGTTCAGTTGCAGTTGCTTGAACCAAACCAAAGGTAAACCCACCAGGAAGAGCCTGAACACCTCTGCTCAAAACATAAACTATTTGCTAATAACACTAGTAAAGGATCATGCAGCCTGTTTTTTAACTTAATATTCACAAGTTGACGAGCACTGCCTGAATGCAACATTAATTTGGTGATTTAGGCCATTCAGGTTTTCTGATATAACTGCATTCTTCAGAGAATCCCGGCTCTAACTGTCTTAATGTTTATGTTGTTCTTATTGAGGGTTTCCTACCTGCTCTGCACCTCCTGGTCGGGAGCTCAGCCACCTGATACCATCGCTGCTCCTCAAAGTCGTAACATTCAACGCTACGGATGGCTTTGGGAGCCTGGCCTCCGACCACAACCATCACCTACACAGAAGAGAAACAGCAGAGCCGTCACATGAAGAATTCATTCATTCTTTTAACTAAAAGTGGAGGAACTTAGTGGAGGTTGCATAAATACCTTAGGACAGCAGGCTGGAGTCCTCATGCGTGTGCGTGCCGTTTTCATCAGAGCTCTCTGGTCAGCGGGCAGCAGGTGGTACTTCATGGCTTCAATCAGGTAATCTTTACACGCACTGCTATTTTTGATCAGAGACTCCTCCTCCACACGCTAACACAAACAAAACAAAAAGAGAGGATTTAAAAAGAGCTGCAGTATGTTGTGGATTAATTAGTAGACTGACCAACTTTCACCATCATAAATTAAAATGTT